TGTGAGCCGTTTTGGCCGATAATGAATAGTTTCGACACGAACAAATCCTAAAGTTGGAAAATCTCGATTTTGAACACCCTATATCTCTTCAATCATTTTAGATTAACTCGAAGTTCGATGGATAGATGGAATCAACCCTTCCAGAAGAATCTAAAGATGCAATGAAATACAGGGTATTTTATTCGAAATAACAAAGTTGTTGCTTCTTTTTGATAGAAGCGGCAACACTACGTTGCTGAAATTATTTTAAATGAAGAAAGCCTATTCCAAAATATAAGCATGCCTATTAACATGGATTCTTCCTGCATGATCCTTGATATAGAGATAGTGTAAGCTCGTCGTGACATACCCTGTATGTTTCTCTATTATCTCTTAAGAAATAAACAAAGTAGAATGTTGGATAGGTTGCGAACTCTTTTCAAACTTTGAGCATGACTATAGAGAATTGAAGATCTCAGTCCATGAAAACCCAAAGTCATCTCCACAACATTTATTAGAATGATCAAAGGGCAATCTTAAAGGAACATGTTTCAGGCACATATGAGCCCATCATCAGCCAATAGAAATTATCACAGTTATGGAAATGAAAAAAGTAGGGATACAAATAGTATAGTTAATGATAGTGCAAACAAGGAAATATGCTCCATGATGGTCACTGTAAAATAATATATAGCTATTTATTATACAAGGGAAAAAAATAGTAGATTTAAGCTCCAGGTTGTATTGTCGACGCGTAGCGGAGGGAGACAAAAACCGTGAGCTAAAATCTAATATTTTTCCCGTGTACACTATTTTTTTTGTGACAGAAGAAAGGACGAATCAATATTGAGAAGATATTACATTATTTTGAACTCTGAAAATTATCGACGTAAAATTTCAAGTTTTAACAGTAGGGACACCTGCGTTGTAGGCATTTTCATCATTCTTTTGATGTGATCAAATATCTGATGTCACTTTTATCAGTCCAATTCTGTGATTTGATCTCAAAATATTGCGGTTTACCTAACACGGTATTATTGACTCATTTTTCGGAACTATAGCACAACAAAAGCCATCAACAGTGTATATACAGTGTGTCCCTAGACCAGTGGGACAGTTGAATATCTCCTGAACCAATAGGAATTTCCGAAATATTATAATCCCACATCATATCGCATCATGAGTGCTAACTTCAGGAATGACTAAATTTTATACGAGGGGCGCAAGAAAGGCTCACAAAATCGAACATCAATTTTTTCAAATGGAACACCCCATATATTTCAACATATCTGAATTCTCATCCCTCTAAGCTGATTATCAGTTTTTTATTTTTGAAAATCCGACAAGGCGTTGCCAAGTTATACTATAGTGTTTCATGAAATGCAGACATTTTTTTAGACAAACCCATCATTCATACTACTAATAATTCATTAAATCATTTATGTTGGTAGTCGGTGGCATCTTCTATCATATGAAATACTCATCTTCTTCGAAAGTTATACAGGGTGGTCAGAAATATCATATGATTTTCACGAAATTCAAACTTTCTTCACATCAATTTTTCAAATAGTGTTGGGACTGTTTTTTTAGTAGTTAAGTACAGTTGAATGAACAGTTTACTGCATTTTTTTTATTTGCATTTGCTGATGATGAAATCCACATCTCTCTTTCACAACTATTGACCATAAGCAATCAAACCACCAATGGGATATAAAATCATACATATTGAAGGGTGCACTATTTGAAAAATTGATGTAAAGAAAGTTTGAATTTCGTGAAAATCATATAATAATTCTGACCACCCTGTATAACTTTCGAAGAAGATGAGTATTTCATATGATAGAATATGCCACCGACTACCAACAGTTTTGAATGATTCTATAAATTCTTAGTAGTATGAACGATGGGTTTGTCTATAAAAAAAATGTCTGCATTTCATGAAATACTGGTATAACTTGGCAACGCCTTGTCGGATTTTCAAAAATAAAAAACTGATAATCAGCCTAATGGAATGAGAATTCAGATATGTTGGAATATATGGGGTGTCCCATTTGAAAAAATTGATGTTCGATTTTGTGAGCCTTTCTTGCGCCCCTCGTATAAAATTTAGTTATTCCTGAAGTCAGCACTCATGATGCGATATGATGTGGAATTATAATATTTTGAAAATTCCTATTGGTTCAGGAGATATTCAACTGTCCCACTGGTCTGGGGACACACTGTATATATATATATGATATATATCCGGGAAAAAAGTACTCACTTTTTTCCCACGGGAAAGAAGTAATTCATGAAAAGTGACATTTTATAACCTACCAACAGAGATGAAATGCCAAACTTTTTTCCCGTCACAGAAAAAATAAAATTATTCAATAAATTTATTTTGATATAAATTTATGTCGTTTACCGAAAGGTGATAATTAAACTTTGAAAAATCAAACTAAAAGTTTGATGAGGTATCAATTAAACCTCTTCAACAGGTTAATATTGATGTGTGTAAAATATTCACTGTGCACTGTGTCACAGTTAGTTTCCTTTCCGAAATAAATTCTCAGATACCGCGGCCTACATCAAAACTACATATTTATACAACGTTAATAGTAGAATTGATTTTCAGGTGAAATTTACGAAGAAGCGTATTGCAAAGAAGAAGGATGTGTTCAATCTGATATCACTGTTCATTTCATACTATGGTGTCGAATTTCATTCGTTTTGTTATCTAAGCGTTGCTCTAGATTCTCTTGGTATCCATAGATATTATTAGATATATAACCTATACCTCTCAGGAATTTAATTGTGGAGAATTTCCGGATCGTTCGACCTTGCCTAGGACCAAACAAGCTCAGGGCTCAGAGATTAGACCTTCAGTGTCGAAAATGACCGTAGGAAACTGCTCCAATAATCCTGATGGCGAAAGTCTTCCCTCCTTCCTGCCTTTATCTAAGCATTTTCGAAAAAGAATAAGGTTGTTTCCCATTTCACATAGTCAAATGTTCGCCACATAGTCCAATCAAATGGTATTTTCACTTGTAAAAAATTCGAGTAGTCGGTTTCTCTGTAGTTTCATATGCTTTTGGAGGTGGTGAATTCGAATCTGAATTCTGCAAACAAAATTTCCTGGAGCGTTCCAAGATATTCGCAAAAACAGCATAATTTTCGGACTTTTTTCGGTTTCTTGCCAGTAACTCGGAAATTATACGTTATATCGAAACGACCGCCTCATAAAAAGTTGAAGCAGATGAAATTTCCTGAATATAATTGTCATTGCTCATGAATGTAGGACTGACGAGTGCGGAGATAGAGCCAGTTGAAAATTGACCGAATTTGCGTACTTTTAAAAAAATAGCGTTTTTCGTCGGTTTTCGCAGATAATTCCAAATCTACGCATTCCTGGGAGAAACGAACTGTACTGCCTGATGTAGAAGAGTCCTAGCCATGTGAATTCTCACCTCTGTCAGGATGTAACTAATGACTCTCGACTTGTCACTGTATTTAAGTACATTCACATCAACTAGGAAGAATATTGTTTTTCTTACCAGCCTCTTGTTATTCGTTAACGGAGGAAAAAAAATCAAGTTTCCTAGCAATGAATATCAGAAATGTCACACATTTGAATAAAATATAGTTAGAAGAATTTCCTTCACTGTCGGCTATCTTCGAATTCACGGCAAATGCTTGTTATAAACCTGCCTCAAAGTTTCAGTTAAGTTTTTTCCGTCTTATTTTTTTAATTGATTTTTATATTCAAGCTTTTTTGGGGGTACCCTGGAGAAAATACGATTTGCTCCACCTGCACCACCATCCCCAGAACCAGGTTCTTCAGGGTACCAGCCCCCTGCCAAGTGACAGATTAGATAGAATTTGGATTATAGGATCACCATCAACTGATCAAATGCTTTCTATAACCCTGGTGAAGCCTGATATTTTCTTGACGGTTGCATTTTCCGCATCAACAGGCGTTATCTAGACCTGTTCTAGGGTAGTCAGCCTTTGGCGGACTGGTACATTACTTGAACAAAGGTGCTCTGCGGTTTAGTGTCAGTCTCCTCTAAACCCATTTCTTTCCAGTTATAGCTCAGAGGTTAGTGCTTTAGCACTTGTTTGCTGAGACTCACTAGCTTACGAATTGTTGAAGAACTCTTTCCATCTCGTTTACCTGGAGTTGCTCAACAGTAGTAGGATTTTACAAGTCATTCTCATTCTCTGAGCTCTGTGATGAGGTGGCATTTGCTTGTCTCACAGAAATGTAAGATGTGAGCTCTGCTTTTTCTTGCTCGGCAATCAGCTGCCTCATTCCCTTAACGCCTTGGGACCCACATGAATACTTATTCATGACAAAATAGGTAATTTTGAGTTTTTTATTAACATGTTCAAAGAATACCCTATAGCATTCGGAATCATTGTATCGCAATTATAACAACTATAATTCCAGCGTACAGAATTTTAATTTTTTGACCTATTTATACGTTTTAGAGCTTCAATGTATATAGGTTCATATGATCCATCTCTTTTCATAATGAAGAAATTTATATGAGCTCGATAGGGATGCTCTTCCCATATGTGCATGATGCTCTGTCGCTGAGTAATACGTAAAATATGAATTATCTGCGGAAACCGACGAGAAACTCTATTTTTTGAAAAGTACCCAAATTTGGTAAATTTTCAACTGGCTCTATCTCTGCACCCTTCAATCCTACATCCATGAACAAGGTGAATTGTATCAAGTACATTTTATCTACTTCAACTATTTATAGGGCAGTTTTTTCGATATAATGAATGATTTCCGAGTTGCGAGCCATAACAGAAAAAAGTGTGAAAATTTCGCTGTTTTTCGCTGATATCTCGGAACGCTTTAGGAAATTTTGTTTGCAAAATCCAGATTGGAATTCAGCACCTCCAATAACATATGAAACCACAGAGAAACCGACTACTTGAATTTTTTCCCGGATTGGGTCCTGATCGTTACCGTTTTACTGAGCTAACAATCGTGTGATATCAACATCATTTGATTTTTTTTTCTAGTGAAGTACCTGCGAGAAGTGACCCCGTACTTCAGGAAAGCCAGTATAATCTCGGAGGTGGGATGGGAACTCCAAAGGGGCTTTCTGTCCGGAGCGCCCCCTGCAGTGAGGTCTCCGCAACGCGCCGACACTCGGTACCTGCCTCTGCAACTCTGCCATCTAGCGAGAAACTTCAGATACCCCGATCCAGGTGAGCCAAAATTACTAGCATTTGTTATTCAGAATGAGCGATATTTTTCATGTTCTGGTTCCCACGAAAGGGATACCCTGTGTTGTTCAGAGAACACCGTGAGAACCAAAGGAAATAAGTTAGGAATTGGTGTTCTCGAATTTCTGGAGGTTATATGCCTCGGGAAACATTTCCCTTGGCAATGTGTTCCAGAGCCTCGCTGTTCGTTGGATGAACGAGTCTTTGGAAAGAGATGTTCTGCAGGTCTTCAAAGTGACCACGAAGGAGTGCGAAGCCTCAACTCGACAGGTTAATCTAGTGGGGACTGCCAAGGGAGGAACAATTGGAAGAGCATCACCCATGAAAATATCCATAAAATAGAGCCAGATCGCCAACTTTTCTACAGTGTTCCAGAAAAGTGAGTGAGCTTGTGAGCGAGGCATCACCCACGAGACGAATTGCCCTTTTTCGGTCAGGATCCAACAGTTTCAAGGTATGTTTGGGTGCTGCACTCCAACAGTATTCCAGGACAGGTCGGATCTGTGCCTTATAGATCATAAGCAGCTGACTTGAAGTGAAATAGCTCCTGGCCCGAAACAGGAAACCAAGTTTTTGGAATGCTGTTTTAGCAACCGATCTCACGTGATTTTTCCAAGAAAGTTCATTGCTGATAGTAATACCAAGCATTGAAATAGATGTCTTCAAAGATATGGTTGCTCCTGACGAGCTCATGTTGGTCACAGTGAGATCGGGTTTTCTATAGAAAAGGCATGCTTGTGTTTCGTTTGCATTGGGATCTACCAAGTCATTGGATCCTTATCCGAGAATTGTTGCCAAGTCCATATTTATGCTGTCAACATTTCTTCCTCGTTCGTTTCTGATTTCCCTGGCTGGTATTGAAGCCCAGGAAAAGAAGGCGGTATGGAGGGTACTATCATCCGCGAAGCTGTGTACTGGACATGAAGTTGCTTACATCAAATCGTTGATATGGAATAGTGATAGTGCTGGTGCTAGAATTGATCCTTGCGGAACCCCAGCATTTATGATAAGAGAGTCAAATAAAACTCCGTCAACCACTACATTGAGAGACCTGTTTGGGAGAATACTAGCAGCAGAGAACATAGCTGGGGAGGCAAGCCATAAGATGGAAGCTTGGCGAGAAGTCCCTGGTACCAGACTCGATCGAATGCCTTGAAGATATCAAGTACCACGGCTAAGCTTTCACTATATTCTTCAATAGATTTCTGCCATATATGTGAGACCTAAGCAAGCAGGTCACCAGTTGATCTCTGATGACGGAAGCCATATTGCCTATCGGTGATAATACCTGAATGTTTCAGGTATTTCATAAGCTCGATGTCGATAGCTTTCTCCATGACCTTTGAAATAATAGATAGCAGTGCGATCCGTCTGTAGTTGCTAGGTAGGGTCTTTTTGCCTCTTTCAGGAACTGGTTGTACTCATGCAATTTTCCAGTCAGAGGGGATGATATAAAGAAGCCATAATATTATATAGTTCCTTCTCGACTCTTTCGAGCATTCAGCATGTCCACTATTTCTTATACTCCATAACAAAATATCATGTTGATATTGAAGACTTGGCAACATTGTGCTGAATGCTGAAAACTAAACCAATTTTGTATTGGTGATAAGCTTCTATCGAAGGATTCATTTTTGGGTTCTTAACAAATCTCAGTGATAATATGGGGTGGAGAAGCATTGTTGTGTCCAATTTGGCTAATGCTATTCAGTTCATTGTCAACATTTTTTGGACTCATAGGGACATTGAACAATCTGTGGAACTTAGAACTGAGATCTGCAAATTTTATGTTGCATAGGATGGCAAGACATAAACGGAATCACAGAGTCAATGTGTGGAAGTTTCTGGAAAAATCGACTGTATATTATTGTTCATATTTATAAGTAGGTCCAAAAAATGAAGAGAGTTCTCAACTGCAACTTCCATAGGTAACTTTCCTATTATCATTCCAATATCCAATATTATTCTAATTTATCTATATTATGCATGTTCCGATATTCCCGAACAGTAGAAGCCTAGTATATTTTATTGTTCCGATTTAACTGAAATTCACTGGCAACGTTTTCGCGGGTCATTGCAAGAAACCCTGTTAGAGGCTGTAATGAAAGTTTACTGTTGGCCACTGGTGCAGAAATGGTGATGTAGTGCCAGTATTCATGAAATGCTAGGTTAAGCGTTCGACTGGTTTGGTATGGGTCGATAAAAATAAAATATTATTATTTCCTGATACTCTGTGAAAATGTCTGAATTCGGACTGGAGGACCTCACAGAGGCAGTAGAAGCTGAAACTGCGCCACTAATCTACAAGATGGTTTGTTATTCCCACTTTTGATATCAAATACCGATTTCACCTCGGATTTCACTGCTTCGCTTCGTTTCTTCATCACTAGATCTAGAGGTACTAGAGCTTGGTGTTTCTGATAAATCAGAATCTCTATAGGATTATATGTCTTCTAAGATAATATGATTAATCACTACACCAAAGATTTCAACGTGAATAAGGAATATTACCAGATAACACAAGATATTCTACGAATATCCTCTACATGTCCAATTCTGGTAGGTTCATCTATGAATTTGAAATGCGCATCCATGAGATATCTATCGCAGGATTTGAAATGGATATCCTAAGGATATCCATAAGATATCCACAGCAATTATGAATGTGTTCAATCTGCAAGATTGATTTTGATAGTGTCAATTCATGAGTTAATTCTGTGTGCGGAGATAAATTGAAATTTTAAGGAAATAGATCTCATTCTCTGTTCTCCTACTGGATTTGATATGGACATCCATGAGATATCCATCGCAGGATTCGACATTGGTATTCTTCAGTAGATATCCCAAGGATATTCGAAAGACACTCGACACACACTTTAGGAGATCTGTGAAACAACATCTCATCAAAGAAACTTTCTATTGTGTTCAAGAATATATTGCCAAAGATTGGAATGAATCGTGTTGAATTGAACTGAATTTCATTTATTTATTTATTTATTTATTTTTTTATTAATTTATTTATTTATTTTTTTATTAATTTATTTATTTATTTATTCATTTATTTATTTATTTATTTATTTATTTATTCATTTATTTAATTATTTATTTATTTATTTATTCATTTATTTATTTATTTATTCATTTATTTATTTATTTATTTATTTATTCATTTATTTATTTATTTATTTATTCATTTATTTATTTATTTATTTATTTATTTATTTATTTATTCATTTATTCATTTATTCATTTATTCATTTATTCATTTATTCATTTATTTATTTATTTATTCATTTATGCATTCATTTACTTATTTATTTATTTTGACATTATAGATCCTGTCGGACTGTTTTTTTTCCATTTTTGATTCATGTGACCAGTTTAGTACAATTTTAACCATTATTTGTGTCGTATTTCTTTGTAAATATTTACTTATGTTTGTTCCTCATTAGTACTGTGGTTTTTATTAATGTTTGATGTAAGTGTGATTTTAGTATTACCTATATCTTTATATTGAGACTTCAAACAACTATATCAACTATGACTTTGTCAATGAGAATTTTCTTCGGACAATAAAGTATATTTTGATTTGATTTGTCCTCATAGTACAAAAAGCTGATGAGAGAAACGTTTTATGGTGTGATCTAGTTAGCGTTAGTATACTTTCAAATGAATGAAACAATTTTTTACTGGAACATGCACATTTAGTTTCGTACAGTAATGAAAAAACCGGCAATTCGCTTCCACACTTTTTAATGTGTTTTCATAAATCAGTCGACTGGTACAATTCCAGACAAAAGGAGGATTCCTAGTTGTGTCACAGCGTGTCGCGACTTCCACAATGGATCTCTTCCTATATTCGCCCTTTTTTGCCCTCTCGGACATTTATCATTCTTTTAGTTTGTTTCATCCATGCTGACATCCTGTGCCCGTTTCCTGTGGCAAAAAGTGTGAGCAGTTGACACTAACGTTCATTGCTGTCTCGCAAATTCAATACATCTGTATTGAATACATTCACGTATGTACCGGATGAACAACTAAGAACGGCTGCCGGCCATATCTCAGCAACGAATAATATATATGTATAATAATAAATTCAGTTCAAAGGCCTTAGTTAACACGTTGAAGGACAGAGACGCTGATCAGCGTCTTTTTCTGAAGTTGTGATATGACACAACGCTGATCTGCGTCTTCAGCTTGAGGGTCAATAATGACACGACGCCGTTCAGCGTTTTCGTTTACAATACGATATAATAGGAACTCAATCGGCACTGTCACAATACGTTCGATCATCAGGGACGTAGTGTCATGCATTCCAAATTCATCTACACTTCATATCCCCTCTTCTGCTAATTTATATGCCCTTCAACAACGCATGTTCACACCATTTAGCTTTAGTTGACTAACTTTACCAACTTTGTTCTGATTTGATTATTTTTTTGAGGTTAGGTGGTGGAAATCCACTTAAATTCGCTGATATTGAATGGAATATTGTTATGAAGACTCATGAAATAACATATACTTGCACTTAAGTCAAGTCAAGGCTATACAAAAGTAGACCAGAGTGTTTACACCGTTTTGGTCATCATACTATTTTAATCTGGTACGCAAAAAGTTCCGGAACCAAACCAAGCTGGTAACTTTACCAAGTTTACAGTTTATACCACACTAACCGAGAGTATTTAGTTGAAATATTGTCATTAGGTAGCTTACCAAGACACGGTATAAACGTGGCCATTGATACAAGTTTGAGATAGAATAAATCTAATGGTATACATATCATTGAACGATGTAATAGAGAAAACAGATCTCAACAGAACAACGAAAACCGCAACATATGAAAGGTTTTCGCCAACGGAAAAGTTGGAAGAATGATATATATATGACAGCCGTTCTTAGGTGTTCACCCAATACAGGGTGGTCCGAATTGTGCATTTTTAAGGGGAAAGTCCTACTCAAGATAAAAAAGAACTGATGTCGAT